GACCTATCCACGTCATCATTTACCCAGAATGCTTTGTGTGGAAATAAAATGGCTCCGTCTATGTAATATATTTTTTAATTTTTAGTTTGAAATTTATAAAAACTGAACAGCCTAAAGTATTTTTACAGTCTTTATTTTACAGTTAAAATATATGTTTGTCATATAAAGTCTGATGTTACAACTAATCATGGATCACTTTAAGCTCAAAAGGGGGGGTCGTATTATACATGAGATCATATTATACATGAGATCGTATTATACATGAATAAAGATGGTCGTTTTAACATTCTTCTTCTGTCCTTTGGTTTGGTTTTCCTGTAATTAACAAAGAAAATGTAAAATATAATGTTCTTTTATTCACCAGAGTTTTCAATGACTTGGTGTGTTTTAAAGGTCTTGCGCAATAAAATGAAAACCTGCAACAATTGTGTACCTTACATTTACCAGACCTGTAAARCACATCACAGGGTTAGTTTAGTAAAAGTCACTACAAATATCAGACATGCAAACAGAGGTGAATAAAGTTTCTTTGTAATAGAGAACATGTGAAACAATCTACTCATGTTCCAAACARAATAAAATTAAACAAAAAAAGCTAGAAGAGGTTAATTATCCAGAGTAAAGCAGTTTGGATATTTCATCAGTGGCGTTTGATCACCAGAGCTTTCTGTCTCCATCAGTCACGTGGTCGTTTCGGTGTTTACACTGAAACGCAGTGGAATTAGAGATGTCACCCACATGCTGACGAGTGTAAACCATGAGCTCAATATGTTGATAACCTTTCTCTAAACGTCTAGTGAATCTTTGGCATTTATTATCATCATCTTCATCAGGCATGTATTTGTCAGCTAATGAATGGAAATGATTTAGGCCTTGCTGTTTGAATGTAAAAAAACAAAGCTGCTGCCTGTCTGTGGTTCTCTCCTGGAACCACACAGCTGTGAACAGAGCTGTTCCTCCTCTGATCTAAGTGTACTGCAGCCCTTTATTCAAACGTTGGACACATTTGTAGTTGGTAACTGTTGTTTGAAATAAAAAAAAATTATGAATTTGATTCTCAGCTTTGATGGTGATGAATTATCACACAGTGCCAAAAGGCACTGTATGTGTTCATTTGTCTGTTAGCAAAATATCCAATGAAACTAGCCCCACTCAAGTTTGAAAGCAAAATATAAATCCTTAAAATTAAGTGATAGTGCACCTGTTGATGGCAGACAATAAAAAACTTACAGATTATTTAATAGAACTGTGTTTTTGGTGAAGTTTCTGCTAAATTCAGCTGTCTCTCTCTACATAATCTGTGATGTTTGGTGAATATTATTTTTCCTCTCATTTCTTCCAGTCTTGGACGCACGACATATCCAAGGAGAAGGAGTTTCTTCGTAAGCTGGTGAAGGCCAACGTGATCACAGATCTCACCAAAGGTATCTGAGTTGACACGCACCAACAGCCTCCCCCTGCTGATCCCAACGGACCTGAAGACTCAGTTGTGGATCAGACTGACTTGGGGGGGGGAGAAGCTGTCTGCGAGGCCAGCTCACTACCAGGGTCTCTACATCCAAGGAGACCAGAGACCAGATTACAGGAGGAGTTTTGTGGAAAGATGCACTCATGTGCCTTCTGAACCAAAGACTGCTCTTTGAAGCGGGGGGGTTGAACAGGCTCAAGGAGGACTGGATTGACCCAGTTCCTGTCCTATAAAACCACAGTATTGCTGTGCCGGCCCTCCACTTCAGACCCCCAAACATCAGATAAATAACGAGTGAGAGCCACGACGACGCATCGATTCATTTAAGCTTCAGCTTGACTTTCTGTTTAACTGAGGGGAGAAAAGGCTGAGCAGAGCTGTGGAGACAGAGTATTAGCAGTGCCAAATGTACCTCGTCCAGGGGAGAGGGCGTCTCTCCTGCTGCCTGAATGTATTCACTTTACTCAGTGTAAATATGGAAGATTTCTACTCTGCTTTTTACAAGCTGCAGTAGCTCCGTGATACAATCCCTCCCCTTCCACCTCCACATGTGTCCAGAATGGCCTGAACGATGGGTGTTCGTGACGCCATAGAAAAGGAACCGTGTCTAAAAGAACAGGAGGACCCTGTGGTCATCAGCTTCACATGTTACAGTTATTTACATGGAGGTGTGCTGCATCTTGGTGCAGAAAAAACTAATGTAAAACTGACAGCCGGCTGAAGGGTTTGAGAGTAGCTTTTGTCTGAACTGAGTAAAATTTCAAGACTTTTTTTTTTCAATAGAAGTCTGAGTTTTGAAGTGATGTTCTGTCATATAGTTAATTTAAAACTTATCAGCCATGAAACACTCGCTCTGACGTAGACAGGTTGACGCGCRGTCACGTGGTTGTGCTATGGAAAGCCCAAAGCGCCACAAATCGCCACTTTACAACGCGTTAAGAGCCTTGTAAAGTGGCGATTTGTGGCGCTTTGGGCTTTCCATATTGTTCAGCATTCTTTTTCTCACAAACCTTTCATAGCTCCAGAGACACCCCCGTGTCGAGCTCCTGGGAAAMCCCCTCCCACTGCAGCATACGTCACTGATGGAGTTCCTTCCCGCTACAGCCGACAATGTAGAAAAAAAGTCAGACTCAACMCTYACCCGACGTATTTATCCACATCTGTYCTGGTTAAAGCTCCACAGTTTTTATCAGTCAGATTCCTCCGTGCACAACGTCTGTTTTATCTCCATTCATGTTTTTCACGGTTTGACTATGTAAAACTCTGCTTCCTGCTAACAGTCGGCTCCGGGAGCGAGTCGGTTTCTTTTTTTTAATTTTACCGAGCGGAACCGTCCGAGCGTTTTCAGCACAAACAAACACGCCCACGAACTTCAGACCAATCACACATTACCGTTGTCGCAGGAGGGGGGTAAAAAGCTCYGCCAAAAGGGGCGGCCGAGACGACGTTGTGAACACCGGTGATGTAATTTTCATCATGAAACTGCGACAACCCGTGCCGACGTCGGCAGTTAGGTACGGAGTCCGCGAGGGGACATGGGGGATTTTTTTTCTTTTGCGTTACCTCGCAAAACCTTTCACGCAAAAGTTTGTTTTTGTATATGTGCTATATTAAATAAGACTTTTATTTTGAAATATCCGGTCACCGGATATAAATCACCCAGCCATCGCTGTACGCACCGATACGTATTATTATCCAAGTAAAAAATGTGGAAACTCTGCAGCAGCTTCTACAACCAACTTACTGTGGAAACAATCATGCAAAAGTGAAGAAGTTTAACTGTAGTTACTTTTTTGAGAATCATAGACTGTTTAGCTTCTTCAAACTCTRATAATCAGATGACAGAAAATCACTTCAAAGTTACTACATTATCCCTTTAACGCAGCAACATCAGCTCTGAAAATAGGTCCAGGTAGTGAAGATACCTGCTAGCCCGAGCAGAACCGCTTCCAAATCGTACGATTCTTATCTGTCTTAACAACGAGCGGTTTCTGTCTTCAAAACGTCTCAGCAGCTCCTGATATAAAAGTTACACTGGCAGTATTTTTGCACTATACTGTTATTTTAGCCGGAATATGGTATTCCTTCAGGAAGTGCCTCAGTCTGTACAGCTACCTGCTGCTGCTGGTCCCAATGACCACAGAGCTCTATGGAAAGAACCAGTGTCCAAAATGTACCACAGTGTAAACCTGTGTGGAGTAGTGTTTGTACGACTGCATCACTACGAATTAGTTCTGGTTCTGTTCAGATGAGCTGATAGACCATCATGTTCTGTCAAAATACGTTTTTATTTCTCTACACTGAGCTCGTATAAAGAACCATCATATTTTAGACCTACAGTGTGGCCCTTTTGATGTTTAATTATTTTATTGATGTCATAAATCAGTCATAATAATGAGTTATTGCTTAAATATTCTCCTGTCCTAAATCAGCTCAGGGAAAACATGGTTGAAAAGTCAGGATGGTTGCAGGAGAATTTGTAAGGTTCTGAACATCCTCAGGAGTTATTTGAAGTCCATCAGGACTGTGGGACGTGTATGTTCTGCTGAGAGCAGGTTGTCCTCACAAACTGAGACGTGGTGAGAGAGACCACCAACACACCTGTGACCACTCTGAAGGAGCTTCAGCAGGTGAGCTGGGAGCAGCTGAGGTCCTGGTTCTTCACCAGTCGAACGTTTAGTGACAGAAACAGCTGAAGATCAGGTGTTCATGGTGACGGGCCGGCTGCAGACAAACACAGTTACCAAACTCTAGTCCTGATTGAATCACCTGCTGAAACCTGTCCTCCCTTCAGAGTGGTCCCAGGTGTGTTGGTGGTCTCTCTCACTCCTTCACTTAGTTTATAAGAACTGCTCTTGGTAGMTTGACATACATGGACCTGTTCTTCTGATGGACTCAGCAGAGCTCCTGATGTTTAGGACCTTTCAGAAACGTTTGTATCCATCCTGAGAGTCTTTTCTCTAGGTTCATGTAGGACACTTAAAAAAGGATGAATATTTATGCAATCACTTATTTTACATTATATCTCTTTATTTAAATCAATTTACAGTATAAAATGTGTCCTTTTCAACAAAAAGTGTTAACTTATATTGACTGATTTAAGACAGAAATAAAAGCATAAAACATCTAAAGGAGTGAATACGTTTTATAATCACAGTAAATTATCTCTTAATCTTTTATTACATTTTTAGGATTGATTGATTATTTTCATATTTTAGAATTGAYATTCTTGTTCTTTTACACTCTTGTTCTTTTTCTTGGCTTTCCTAGAAAACCCATATCCATCAGGTTTTTATTGTTSGACCACAACAATGAGACATCATCAGTCCAGTACCATACATGAACCCAAACCTTTGTAGGACCTGATTAAATTTGAGTTATCAGCTCGTTTCTGTTCAGACGTTTCATCTCATCATGTCAGAACATCTCCTCATGTTCTTTTGTTACAGTATTTGTTCTTTGTTCAAATCGTTGACTGAGTATTAAATATATATATATATTTTTTTGTTTAGCTTGATTTGTAATATTTATTTTGTTACAAAGTTCCCTCGTTTGGGGCACAGGTTGGCCCCCTCCTGCTCCAAGTCAGATGTTCTGGTTTAGTTTGAAATGAGGCGACAGCCTGGAGATGTGGTTGCAGTCAGGATGTAGTTATCAGCAGTTGGAGGACAACAGTTTGGAGAAAAAGGCAGAAGTCTTCATGCAGCTGGAGGCTGAAGGGCCTGTTCATTGATTCCAGGCTACATGAGCTCTGTTTAATAATGTTTCACACCTGGACGTGGTTTCTGGGACAAGTTCAATCAGCCTGAAAAACAATAATAAAAATGGGCTAATAGTTAGCATAGCATAGATGAAGATTTTTGCCTATTTTTCCATTCTCTGTCCTCTGACTGATGTCACGACTGACATTAAGTATTAAACAGAACCTGGCTTCAGAACTGACCGGACTTTAACGGTTCATCACTTTGTGTTTCAGCTGCTGCTTCTTTCTGTTACAAGTCGTGTTTCAGACACGACATGTTTTACAGTCAAAACAGACCAAACGGATCCAAAYGAGTGTTTAAAGTGAAACCAGGTCAGAACCATCAGCCCACAGCTCATTCCCAGTCAAATATGAACCTTTGTGTTTTCTGTCCTGATGCATCTCAGTAATCCAGGTAAAAAATCAAAAGAAAAAAGTTGTGTAGGTCTTCTGGACGGGTTCTTCTCTAATGAAACGTTTCGTCTCTCCTCCAAGAGACTTCTTCAATCTGAGAGTTTCAGGCTAAATTCAGGCTTTTAAG